CCCAACGTGGCAATTGAGTCTAACTGAAAACCCAAGTTCGAAGTGTGTGTCTGAGGATTAGGCTGCACGACAATCCTCATTGTCCCGGAGAGCCAAATCGTAAACCGAAACTTCCTGTCCGGATCTCAAGCTAGCATTCAGCACCTCTCTCTCTCTGCCTGATTGAAATGTATTTTCATTATGTGTCTGTCTATGTGAGAATCCGAAAGCACAAACTTATCATCCACCACCGCCCAGAATCCAGAATGGCGGATGAAGTGCCATAAGAGTACTCAAATGTGGAGATATGCCATATTTGCGAATGCTTGGCCGCTTGTGCAAAAGCGAACAGGCATTGCGTGTCAAGATCACCACAGCACAAACGTTGAAGGCGTCCTGACTTCTTAATCATTGCTCCGGTCCATTCATTGTTTATATGTTTCGCTCTGCCCCGTCATCATACTCAGCCACCAAGCCAATTTCTATCAAGCAAAGAAGCAGTCCCAAAGCGCCCTCAGCATGATCAAGCCCAAACTGAAGCCGACCCTGGGCCAGCCCCCATCCCATTAATAAATGAACACATGGATTCACAAAGCAGGGCAACACCCTAATCTCATTGTTCTTGCCCTGAGGATTGTTTGATCCCTATTTGTGGTTTGACCTTTGCCTTCGTTCATACCTGTGCCCGAAATTCCGCGTTTGTGATTTCATCGGATTTGCGATTCGTTCAAGCTATTTGAGGAGTCTCTTTGATGGATTGACGAAGAGGGAGTTTGGGTTGATTGGCATAGCCAAACAAAACGAAAGGAAAACATGGCTCAAGAAAGCAAAGGTGTGAACTGGATGGACAGCATGCTGCATACACTGTGCGGCTACACACGAATCGATACTAATGGAACAAACAAGTCAAGTTGGAATCAGGCTGCCCGCTGCGCTGCTCCTGTCAGACTGCGCTAACTTTCTTCGCCGCCGCCCTTTTGCCGTCCAGTCTATGAATCGGACTCCTGACATGGAACAGCTAAAGCCAGGATGAGGAGATAGCTTCTAAAAGCAACTCATGTCATCTGAGATTTTACCATAGTTTAAGCGTGGTCAGTAGCGTGGTCACTGCAAGCAGAAACCTTGTTTGAATGGACGCGCCATGATTCTTTTGCGCAGTCCTTCAGGCAAGCCAACTAGCCGACTTGGAAAATGAGATCCCACCTTCAACACAATCCACTTGTTTTGGCTTCACTGAGGTGTGTCATAATCCACTTTGCTTCGCAAAGGTCTGTCAAATACAATGAAATGCAAGCAATCTAAAAGCATCTATGCATTTGACTGTTTCAGAAGTTGAAGGATGTTGCACATCATCATCATCATCATCAAAATGCCGAGGTGTGTGCCCATAGCATCAAGATCAATCTGAGACTGTGAACAAGAACAACGAAACAGCACTTGAAAAATACGTGGTTTTTCTCTCAGTGAAGTTACACGTGTTGAATCACATTGATGTGCAGGTTTGGCCCGAACGTCCAAACGTGTGTTCAACCGGCGGCTCAAGAAAGCATGCGTCTCACATGTCTAAGCTGTGCTGCCCAGAAACTCGATGCAAAGCCAAACTGCTGATGGAATCAGCTCTGGAGCCTGCATTGGAACAACTAAGGACTGTGAAGAAGTGTTGCAATCAATCCTGTGCTTGCTGAGTCGTGTTCAACCTAGGACCTACGTATGCACGAAAAAGAAAACGCAAACCTCGGGAATTCTGAACTCTTGCTGCAGTTGTTTCCTACCACTGATACTGACACCCCTTCCCACTCCAACTGTTCCTGCTGCCCACCTGCGACAAACGAAACCCCATCTAGCCTCCTTTGGAAGATTGCCAACACTGACGTAAAACAGCATGACAGGAAAAAGCGCCTCAAAACCGATGCAACAAAGAGTGTTTTTTCACGGCAAAAGCATGCAAAAGCGGTCTGATCGAGAACCGTTTCCTGGGAAATTACGAGAAGATCTACACTCGAATCTGTGAAACGAACAGCGTGAGGAACTGGCTCCCATGGCATGCCCCACATCACTTGAGAGGAAAAGCCACGTCTGGATCTTTGTATGATTGTCCTTGTGTCACATCGCACTGCAAAACTTAGATAGGTTTAGCCTGTGTGTGGCAAGTGATGTCAAATGATTCTGACAAAAAAGAAAACTAAAGTTCACAGCTCAGCTTTCAGCGTTAGTGCTCATTATGGCCAGGATGTTGCGGGTCTGACAGTTTTGTGCTCAATTATGTTCAATCCGATTCTTTGTTACCCGTTCACAAACAAGCTTGGGTCATACACCTACCCTGCTTGCTAAGGCACCTGAAAGAGAATGCCCGACCCGAAACCATGCACCTCGCCAAGCCAAATCGAAACAAACATGGCAGGATGACAAAACTCTCATGCTTGATTCCACCCAGTCGGTTTAAGACATTGAAGAATGAATCACACAACACGCCAAACTGCTCTAAGGCCCCTTCTAAGCGGGCCAGCATTAATGGCCACCAACGATGAGGTGCGATAGCTTGGCCACAAACCTGCAGAGGAGAAATCAAGATACATTATCATAATCATACTTAAATCTTGTTCAAACAATTTGAACGTTGAGGAGTCTAGCTCCCGGCTGTTATCAGGTGACCCAGCAACAGGAGGAACAAAAACCTGAGCACAGGCACAGCTGAGCAAGCCCATCACATGAGACTTCTCCTTTCGATAAATGCCGAGGCCAAGGAGCAAAAGAAGTCCATACCTGTGCCCAAAGCGTACTGCCACCTCAAACCGTTAAATTGATATGTATATATATATATAACCGAGGACAAACCTGAAGGTGTAATCAAATTGAGGATATACGTGCAACTGAGCCACAGTTCTCATCAACCAAAGGGAAAGTGGCATCGGCAGATAGACACCTGAGCAAAACAGTCACAGGAAGAGCGAAACAACATTCATGAAGAGATATGAAACAATGTGAATCAAGAATCAATGGACTCTGACTCTAATGGACTTGTTATGGAAGTTCTTTCAGATTTAAATTGCAGCTGCCTCCCATGAGTAGGCCCAGCAAAGCAACGTCTTTGTTGCTAAGCTGCCCAGCACCTCGCAAAATCAGAAAAGCATGGAGTCTGTACGTTTGAAGCACAAGGAGTCTTCAAACCCGCCTTTCGAATTCATCCAGCTGAATGCGGTAGCCAAAACGGAAGTGGAGTTTGCGTAGAAAAGCAAGCAAAGGACCAGGCCTTGTGGAAGTTTGAGGCCAAGCCGTGCTCTTGAAGGATCATATGATATCTTGTTTGCATAGTAGTCAAGAAGCTCAGGCTTAAGGAAGGGCAGTGGACACGATTTGTTGCGATCTGAAACAGCATCTTTCTCGAATTTGCATCCAGCACAAGAGCATGAATGGGGTTTGCCTTACGACTCAATCTATATACAGCCAAGCTCACTTGCATGCAAGGATCATATCCAGTCCACCCGCAACGGCGGCATGATGGATTCACCATAATGCATCACCTCAAACAAGCCCTACATTGCAACACCACACAGCTCAGCTCTTCCAACCCTGAGGGAGGAAGAGATGGGAAGATGCTCAGATGATCTTAGATGTGTGCCCACACACCACTTTGTTCCAAGGTGGAAACAACTTTTCTTTCTTGGGCTTCTTACTAGTACCTTCCAAAGTGTCTTCCAAGAATTTCAAGAACCTCAAACAACTTCTAGAAGTGCAGCCTAAACGCCTAAAGAGAATGCAAGCTCTCGCACATGCAGCGTTTCAGTTCAACTATTCATGAAAAAGGGTTTGAGTCTGGCACCTTCCCCACATGAATAGGTCCATGCTGTCCAGAATGGTCCTCCTGCTCAGGTGCTATGTCTGAAGCAAGTAACATCGGATGGTTTTACCTTCAAGAAGCTCGTGCAATATTGTTGTCATGACCTTCGTCACTTGGCCTAGGTTCGTTTGCGGCTTTAACCCACCCGCCTTTTCATTGATGCGGTCGTCCTGCTCCTTTGTGACAAGTGTGTCTTTCAAAAACATTGAAGTTTGCCATGCTCATCTTGCCTCAGCAAAGTCGACAGCTGCACCTGGCCTGCCAAGGCAACCAAAATCATATCGACGGTCTTTTTTGTGTGGAGTGGCAGGTCATCAGGATTTGGTGAGTGTATTATCGCTGTTCATGTCCGTCATGTTACTGTTTTTGGTGAGTGTGCTATCGTTTTTGAGCCAAAATGTGAGCGTAGCACTTTCACTCTGGACATGTCTGGACAACGCTTGCAATTGAAGTTCGCAAATGCAATGCTGCTTTGAGGACTTGGAGGGCTATGCTAGAATCACCTGCATCTGACTCCTGAACTCATGTTGTTGCAATCATTACATCCAAAAGTATTTTGACAAGACTTGAGGAGAGCGATCAAGAAGGGAAGGTCACGAGCACCCATTATTTCGGTAGTTGTTACAATGTTGATCCATCTTGTTGGAGACATAGTTTGGGAGAGAGAAACACCATCACCAAAATTTGAGTGCATCAAGATGGTCCGCCTTCTGCGGCGCCGAAGGAGTGCGAAACAATCAGATGCCTCCCCTGCGTGAAGACTTCATCAGGGTAGAATCTTAGAAACAGGATTCTGAACCTACTAGCGATGGCCTCCACCTAATAGCGATGTAAAAACTGGTGTACACCATACCTGGACAACACTCTTCACAAGGTCACGGTTTCCAAAATATTGCTAGACGCGCCTGCAAAGTCCTCATCCTTCTTGGCCACTGAATTTGTCGATGGTGTTTTGTGAAACCTGGTCTTGGTAACAACGCACAACATGCAACGCTTGCAAGAATGAAAACCATGTTCATTGAAGCCATTGTGCCCTGCATCCTGGCAACTTGAACAGCTCCTGCAACCTGAGCTTAGCTGCTTCCATTTTCGTATTGCTTCACCAACGTGGATTGCGAATTGTTTGACTCATCAAATGTTTCATGGGCGTTTCCAAGTCTGGAGCTGGGCAGCAGGGCGAGCAACTTTGGAGGCCATCCTCAGGTATGCAGCCCAGAAGAGAGCCCCGAACCAATTACTGGGTGAAGGGTCAATCACAGGAAGAAATCAGAGCTAAGCTATTGAGACCTGCAAAATCTCAAGTATACCTTTGCATCATGTGCTCTGGTTCTGCGTTGGCTGTTAGGCCTTATGCTCTAAGTATCTAAGTCACTGCTACGAAACTAAGAGTTGTAAATGCCAAAACTGTCAACCAAATCATTTCTATCTAACAATGTGGAAGGTGTTGAACCTGACAATCTAGGATCTCTTGTGAGTCTATGATGCTGGGCTGACGAGCAGCTTTTTCTTGCATAAACTATGGTGTGGAACTTCATCCACATTGAGCATACCCCGTCCGGCCTCCCCGATCCCATCAATAACTCAGAATGGATAGTCCACAAAAAGGCCAATTCAAACCTCCTCCACACTTCATCTGGACGGCTTGTACTTGTGCCACTTTCTTCTCGCCTCATCCTGCAGCACTCTATCGACCAAGTACAGTTAGTCGTTTAATCATCCATCTTCTTCTGGAGGTGACAAAAGCTCTCAGCATACAAAATATAGATGCCAATACCTTTTTCAATCTCTTCTAGTGTTGCACTTCAGTCACCTGCCTTGCCCCAGTTGGCAGCCCAAGAGAGTTGTTCTTGGAGGTGATCTGGCAGCTGAAGCAAAATGGCACGGGCTCTGTCAGAGCCGTGCAAATGCTGCAGCAAGGCGATGGCTGTGACCTTGCAGAATGGTTTCCAACAGCAAAACTCTTACAATGTGCTCATTGGTGTAGTGTGTGTATATATATATATACACATATCATTTGTATATATATATTTATATATATATATATGTATGACTCTATATATATATATATTCGCCATTGAAAGCAAGCGCGACCTTAAGAATCTATTTGACAAATGTACACCTATATAAATACATATAACTATATATATATACACATCCGTAAAGCGCGCAAAGTTCAGAAGGATCTCTGACTCTACAATATACACATGTGATCTGTGGGTGATCTGGATGATCTGAAGTTCTGAAGGATTGCAACGGATGTTGAACAACATAGCCAAGCAACAGCAATTGCTGGCATGCTGCGATACAAAAAAGTCAAGTCTTTGACAATCAGGGTTGTTTCCAGCCTGATGCTTATCAATCATGGTGCAACATGTCAATGCTGAAATGAGGTATTGCACGTCCCCACCTCCTCCACTCCGGCTGGAACAGCATGTTTTTGAGTCGCCTGCCGCAAGAAGCCAGTGCTGCTAAAGTCCTGGCCATTCCACCAGCTGTCGCTGCCCATGGTTGCGCCAACACCTCGAAAGGGCCATAAGATCAGCTTCAACATCACTATTAGGTTGAGGCCAGCGCTCTTAGGTTGGAGGCCATCGCTATTGGGATAGAGATGGATAAAGGCCATCGCTATTGGGTTGGAGGCCATGGCTATTAGGTTGGAGGAACTCAAATCTGCTCACAGCAGTCGGATTTTTGTGAACGGTGGAAGGTTCCGTCATGAACTTCCATCACTCGACCAACAAGGTGCTTATCATAGAGATGATGCAACTATATAACTTGCACACGACAATGGGCAGTGTGATTAGAGTTGTCTCGCCGATCATATATTGATGTCATAAGGTAACCTTATCTTGCAACTGCATGCAATTCTTAAAAGAGTTTCAGATGGCATTTGGTGCCCCACTGTCCGGCAAATCCATGGTTTGCAGCATCTCCTGTCCTGAAGACTTGAACAAAATCAACAAAGAGAAGCCTTTGCTTGAACAAAGCTCTCTTGTCAAGAGTAGGGAATAGTCAAGGCCAAGACAGCGGCACCTACAAACCGTTCTGGCGTGCAGGCCTTGGTTGATGGTTTGGTTGGAGTTGGGTCCTGCTTCAGCATTCATTGATGGTGGCACGTCTGGCAATCCATCGGCAATGCATAAAAAGCCAGTGAGGGCCTTGTCGTCAGCCACTGGCCAGTCGGGCCAGTGTACTGTACTGCTTCCACTTTGCATGTAAATGTACTCATGTCACTGAAATGTGCTCTGCTCTATATATATATATATGTATGTATACTGTATACTTCTATACTATTTTATACCCTAACCGGCATCGTCTTGGCCAACATAAGTCAGGCAGCTTGCGCCTGTAATTTATTATATTTCAGCCCAAGCGACGAGCTTTCGGACAGACCAAAGAGCAAGAGTATTCCATGGCGAGCTCCTGCCGTCCAGGATTTGTTCTCCTGCGAAAGGGCCAGCTGGCACCACAAATACTTTAGATGGGCATCCTCTCTGGAGTGACGCATCAAGCCGCAGCACAAGAATAACCTTCACCTTGAGCAAAACCAATATGACTGAAATGTGACTGCGGCGATTCCTGTTGCCAAAACTCCAAAAACGCTCCTTCTCGAAACTTATGCCCATCGAGCACCGGTCCAACCACCAATGTGTCTGAGTCGTGATGGTCCATCACACGCTGGAGCACGTCACCTTTAGCAAAGCGGCCCAGGATTGCACGGCTGTAGGCTAAAAGTTGTTGAAAGCGCTTCAAAGGGTTTCAAACGGTTTTGTTGTAAACATGGTTTGTGGGGCAGGATTTGGAGGCCGTCTTGTTATGATTAGTAGGAGCCATTTAGATCTTGCATCAAAATCTGGGGAGTAATATACTTGCTGTGCTGACTTGTTTCTAAGATTTCAACATGCAACAATCATGTACGTCATATACTTGGATCGATGTTGTTTTTCACGATGAAATCAAACAAGCCAAATGTCCATCTGAGATCCTAACGTGAGCAACATACCTCGAGGGATTGATACAGGATCCATTTTGCACCCTTGCTCTGTGCGAAGTTCAGAAGGGCATTCAGCGCTGGAACGAAAGCCTCAAGTTCAAAGGCAACAACTGAACCAAGGGTACTTTTGGTTTCTATGCGTGGCTGAACGACATAAATCTAAAACTCAGAATCCAACATGGAACCTGTGTGTTTTGTTGTGTTACAGTACATGTTTTTTTTGCCGATTGTCACACGGCAAGCCTGGTGCGCTCTGGCTGGTGACCAAATGCAGGTGATGCCCACTTCGCTGTTTCCCCCAAATCTAATTTCGGGTTGTCGCAAAACATGTTTTTGCGCGGGCACGAATAAGTAAGATGTTTGTTCGTTAAAACTAAAATAGAAAAAACATTGCATGAGAGAAGGGCACAAGAGACCGGAGAAACCACTCCCGGGAACTGGAAGAAAGCATTTCCATAGACGGAAGAGAGCTGATCAAAACCGAAGTCTTGAAGAATAGAAACATGATGGTGTCAAGTAAAAGAAGTATCATGCCTTTAGGTGATATGACACACACACACACAACTGCACAAACCGCGCAAACACCGTGGTGGAGACTCAAAGCAAGACCTGAATACACTTGGTGCGGCGCAGTCCCACAAAAATCATGGACTGAATTCTCCCGTGAACCAAATTGACACGTAAGGATAAAAATGAAAGCAAACTAGATTTTGTTAGGTTCTAAGAGATAAAAACCGGACGAAAAGGAAAACAAAAAAACAAAAATCAACCGTTGGGTTCTGATCAATCCACGCTGCTCCCCAGCATGGCACATGGAGCACGTGGAGCGTCAGATCGGGCTGCACCTGACAGGAACCGTGCATTCCTAATTTCCAGCGTTCATTTGTTAAACTCGCAGTTTCGTTTCTGTTCAATTTTTTTTGCATTCTTGTGTTGAATTCGTCTTTCGGTCGTATCTCACTCACATGTCAGGCCGGAAACCGGGTTTGGACAATCGACCTCTGCAGCTATCTGCTTGACCTGTTCCACATGGCTGTTGACAGCAATAGCTGCGACAACACCAAGCTGGTGAGCCTTCCAGTCCACAATTGAAAGCAAAAATAACAAGTTTCAAGTTACAAATCCAAATATCAACAAATCAAATGTCAAACCAAATTACCAAACACAGAAGCCGAAAATAGACTCAAAAACTCCATTGAGATAGCCCCTGCCTGCTGCACATAAGCGCGCAAGTGCTGCACTGTCGCTTCGGGGATCTCCTTCACATCTGCTCGAAAGTGCAAGCGGGTCCCCGAGACCTCATGGGAGCAAGTCACTCCGAGGGAGTTACATCATCTCTCAATCCCCACCCGGCCGACCAGGTTGCCCCCAATAACTACTTGAAAAAAGGTGTTGCCTATGCGATTGTGTCAAAATTTGCTGTCTGCTCTCATTTCGCCGGCCTCAACCTCAAACATGTCAAATTTATTCGACATCATAACATTTTCGAAGGTGCAAGATCTTGCTTCCTTGGAGGAAGTCTCCAAACTTCTGCAATCTGGTCTATTGGCAGAAACCTGCACGGCAAAGATCTGGAACGATCATCCTGAAAGATCTCTCCCCCCGTCTTCCAATCTGGGCCACTGCTAGCAGCCGCCGTCGATCTCCCAGGCTACGATCAGCGCTGCGCTGGCGTCAGATCTGCAGGGAGCCACCCGCGCAAAGGTACTGCCAGTACCAGTTTAAACTTGGCCTTCGTCGAGGCCAATGGAACCCCACTGGAATCTATAAATCTATATTGACTGCAGCCACCAAGCATTGGCTATGAGGAAGGCGAAGGGAGGACCCACAGCTGTTTGAAAAGGTCTGCGCACGGCGGGCGCCAGCAGTCATGTCATAAGTCATATGGACGCGCGAACAAGTTACTGCAATTAGCTGCGCGCAAGACACCAATGAGGCTCGAGACCAAAGCACCTGGTGATTTGCGCGAGTCGGCGGCTGACTGCGGCACAAGTCGCGTCCGGGCGATCGCAAAGCGGACAACTGCGCTTGCGTTTCATACACACGCCAAGATCCGAAATAAACCAGGATGCGTTTCCTGTCTTTGGCTGCGTTCTGTCTCCAGGCTCTCCCTCTGCGGATCCACGGGCGGATAAAGCTTGGCCACCGCAGCGGCGAAGGAAAGCTGCGCGCTGCAGCAATTGGAGGCGCGTGAGGTGCAACTCCGCGCGTCCCACAGGAAGAAGGCCGTGGCCAGCGCCAAAAGAATCCAAAAGCTGGCTTGGCACAAGTTGTTCAGACACATTTCGGGATTTCGGGCCAAGCAGTGGTCCAAGTTCAAGTGGCCTGAGATGAAGGCCGAGCTCAAGCCTCTGGGAAGTCTGGCGGGCCACAAAAACGAGGTACCGGACGCTCAACTGTCACGGAGTGTAGGTTCTTGTCATCTGGGACAGCGCGGAGTTGTGTCAGGGCAGGGAAAAGGGCCGGAACCTATCCGTTGCCCAATTCTCCGCGAAGGAGATCGGCCCAGACACACCCCCCCTTCAGGTGAGCTAGTCTGTAGGGTAGGTCCGGAACCAGGTGCAACGCCACGCCATGGCCACTCAGCAACTCGAGCCAATCCTTTGGGTGGCTCAGGGTCACTCGTGTCACTATGCACATGTTCCATGTGTTCCACTACATTGCGCGTGCGCATGTGGGTGTGGGAGTGTATGTGTGTCTAGCCCTTGGACTCACGGGGATCCCTTCGGGTTGGTCTCCTTGTTCTTTGACTTTCGTTTTTAAGCAGGGGGTGCCAGGGACTCCAGGGACCATGCAAGTCTGGCACTAACTAAGACGCTTGCGTTGGTCTGTGACATCAACTCAAAAAGCCGAGTTGACGTACCTGCATGTAAGTCTCAGAACCTAAGTATGGCAAAAGCTGTCTAATACATTGTTTCTGCACTCTGTGTCTCTGCGGTGAAGGGCTAGTGCATGGGCGATTCACCTTGGAATTTCGTGAGCTTGGGACCTGAACTTGAACTTGCTTTTGGAGGCTTTGGAGGTTTCTTGGAATCACCGGTTTTCACCTACCTGGCCTCTTAGGTTTTTCACTTGGGCTGGCGTGTGGCAACCGCAATCAAGTCCGCACGCGTTTCCACAAGTGTGTCTCTCCTCAGTGAGAGCCCAGGGTGAGCCCGACGAGCACAGCGGGCGGAGTAGGCTTAGGACAAAGTCACTTGTCAAGACCGGATGAATATTGAGTACAAGTAGGCAGCTTTGGAGCAAGCCATTAGATGACCGGAGGGCCGGCCAGTTTGGCACTGAGTATGTGGCGGCCAAAGTTTGATCGAGATCCATTGGGATCTGCCGGAGCCTTAGAGGGATGTAGCTTAGAAAAACTGCCTCCCCATGCGGGAGGCCTGTGTGTGTGTGCGGAGTCACAGGGATCCCTTCGGATTGGTCTCTTGTTCTTTGACTTTTGTTTTTAAGCAGGGGGTGCCAGGGACCATGCATGTCTGGCACTAACAAAGACGCTTGCATTGGTCTGTGATATCAACTCGGGACGCCGAGTTGACGTACCTGCATTTAAATTCTGAGAACCTAAGTATGGCAAAAGCTGTCCAAGACGTTGTTTCTGCACTCTGTGTCTCTGCGGTAAAGGGCTAGTGCATCGGCGATTCACCTTGGAATTTCGTGAGCTTGGGACCTGAACTTGAACTTGCTTTTGGAGGCTTTGGAGGTTTCTTGGAATCACCGGTTTTCACCTACCTGGCCTCTTAGGTTTTTCACTTAGGCTGGCGTGTGGCAACCGCAATCAAGTCCGTACGCATTTCCCTAAGTGTGTGTGTGTGTGTGTGTGTGTCATTGTGCGTTGCCTGTGTCATTGCTTTCAAGACTGTTCCACAGTGCTTGGCAGGCAATCATCATGGTCCGTGGCATGACCTTGTATCCGCTCATCAAACAGCAAAATGTATAATTATAATGTATATACTCTATTTTCTCGATTTCTGACAAAAGTGCAGCCAGGAAACAACACGCGAAAATCGGAAGTTCTGCTCCCGCCTGAACAGAGACCAAATTGATCACGCAAAGCTTCCAAGCTGTCTCAGTACAACTCTAGGAGACTTTAGCGAGGATGAAGCACCCTCATTATATCAAGTGCAACAGACAGCGCCTGAACTGATCCTTCCAGCGGCGCTCCTCCTCATCCTCCTCTTCCCGGTCCAGCTCTTCTTCGAAGTCCTCAATCTCAATATATTGAAGCGGGGACATCTGACCTGTCAAAGGAAGCCTGTCCTTGTCAAAGGAAGGTGCTCGACTGGGAATAGAGCCGTCCTGTTGTTTCGGTGAATCTGAAGCTTCATGAGTATGTATATAGATAGAGCACAAAAGCAAGCTCTGATAGGATCTCTGCCTCAGTCATCTGGCTGTCTTTCCGCACGGGACCGGCATGTTCCATTTCTTCTGTATTCTTTTGCATTGCCACATCAGATTCCATGTTGTCCATCAGCAAGTCGGCAATTGGAAGGCGCAAGGCATCTGGCTCAACAGAGAAGGACTACTGGGACTACCGGCTGGATCGATTATTGTCTTCACTGTTTGGTGTGGATTGAGGGGTAGGGGGGTTGGGATACTTGGTCAGTGGTGTCTGTTTCTTCTACCAGCGGTATGTTCTGCTTCCCATTAGTCTTGAGTTCTTTCTACATTGCGACATGAAACAGAAAGAACTGCAATGTGAACCAAACAGTAACGCATCTCAGGCATCACAAGCATGTTTGTATGTATTATATGTACCGCATATACATGGATTCCAACTTGTACAAAGGCGTTTCTATCATCCCAACACAAACCAGCTTACAGTACTGTGGCCACAAAGAATTACATAACACAAATTCCAACAAAAATCAACAAATGTAGCTTTGGAGCACGCAAGCTGCGGCTGAGGCGGCTCAGGCGGCTCAGGTCTGTCTCTGGCTCTATGCCTTGGAATCTTCAACCTATTTGCGCTCCCAATTGGAGCCAGTCTCGCTTGAAAAAATGAGTAAGCTGGCTACACACTCTGACACTTCACAAGGAACCTTCCAAGCGAGGCAAGGCTGACAGCCCACAATTTCAAGGGCTCTTCCAAAGGCTTTGTACCTTGGGTATCCTGTTTCTCTCTGTGCAATGGCATGGCAGTTCTGTTCTGCAGGTCAGCTCCAGACCCACGCATGTTTGTGTCACAAAATGCAAATCAAAAGCACCTACAAATTAAAAGTCAATCTTGGGAGATGTACTGATGTACTACATAAATGTAGTGTGACATGATGTTCTACCAAATGCGCCGAAAGAAAATCTTGAAAGTGTCAATCAAAGCACCAGAACTGCCACCCCGAGAAATGCTCCAGTGAAGCACCTCTAAGCGCTCAGTGGAAGCTCCATTCAAAACTTCCAGCCAAAAGGTCGGGAGAAGCAAAAGAAGCAATAGCGATGGCCTCCAACCTACTAGCAAAAGAAGCAACTTGTAAACATGTTGTAAACATGTTGTCAAATGAACCAAAGATGGGCTCCGCGAAAACCAGTAATCCCGGTGATAATTCTGTTCCAAAGGACCTGGTACACAACTTTGGTTGAGGGGGGCGATCAAGGAGAGACTCAGAGAGCGGGAAGGGAGGGAGGGAGGGAGAGAGAGAGAGTTGGCGCTCTGGCCATAGAATTTCTCTCTTTCGATATGGCTGATTAAATGTGCTTGACCCCCGCTCAATCACCTCTTGAGCTGCCATCTTGCCTACTTGGCTTTCCCTTCCTTGAGGCAGACTACAGTAGCAGCTCTGGTTCACACCACCACTGCGTGCAAAGCAGTCAAGAGAAAGAACCTCCACAGGGAAGGAGGTTGGCCTAAAGAAGCAGAGGCTGAATCAATCAAGCTTCCTGTTCCTACTCATTGGACTGTGTCTGTGTGCCCTCTTGCTGTTCCCATTGCAATCTTTGCCTCGAGGCGCAGGCACTCACCTGAATCCCAAATTAAAATCGACAGCAAAGAAATCACAAACATGTTGAAACATTACATTTTGACTCGAAGTGATTCAAGAAATTCAATTATCCCGACCCGGCCACTCAATGAATTCAACAACTCGATTCTCAGTCTTCCAACACTCTGGGGCGCCCGCTCTTCTTTGCCTTCCTCCTCACCACCAAGGTCCATGTCGTCCATCCCCATGCCACCGAGGTCCATGCCGCCCATGCCACCCATGCCGCCCATGCCGCCCATGCCACCCATGCCACCCATGCCACCCATCATCGAGGACAGGTCCTTACCGGTCACGCAGGACGAAATCAAATGAATCAAAGATCTCTGCCCAACAAGCCCAGGAATCAGGCCATGCCGCCAAGGCCGCCCATTCCTGACCGGGATGAGAAAGAGGATGAAGAATTGGGAATGCCAAGTGTTCTTTGACTCCATGATTCCATAGAATGCATAGAATGCAGTTTTTATTGGTTATATATATAACAGCGTTTGCATCAGAAGGGTGTGCCAACGAGAATTTTACGACTTCATTGATGTCTGCTGAGAAATGCGAACAAAGCACCGGCCTGGCATGCCGCCCATGCCACCCATGCCGCCCATCCCGCCCATGCCACCTGAGAAGTGACACGCAAAACATTCCGAAAGTGGCTGCAGCACCTCCAGAAGCAACTACTTTCGAGCAGTATGTCAGCTTCACCGGGCTGAGTCAGCAGCCCATGCCACCTTCTTCCTCATCATCACCTAAGGCGGGTCCAGCAAAGGGAAGCAGAACACAGTCTTTCTCAACGTAGTCTTTCTCAACAAAACGTAGCCATCGTCATCTATCCACTGTCTATCCACCGCACAAAAATATGTCCAGCTCAGACAACTGCCTCCGCCGCCGGAGGACTCTTGCAACTTGAACCAAGGTTGTTCTTCCTTTCAAGGCGATGCAATTGCAAGCCGCACCAGGAGGACAAGAAGTAAGTAGTTTATATAACTGTAGTGCAAGTGTTTGAACGCGTAAAGTACATTGAACTCATATGAATTTATTGGAAAAGTGCTGCCTTCTTGATCAACTTGAGCACCACCATTCCTGGAGGCTCTGGTATCGAAAGATTCCGGAAAAAAACAGACAACGTCATATCAATAAACAATCTGTCTTGCACGCTCCATCTATCTCGGCTCCATGTTCAGCAGGGAATGCTGGGTATTTTGAATGCCTAGGCCCTAGGCTGCATGACTGCATGGTCAAGAAAGCAGGTGCCTTTGCCCTTCTTGTGGTTGACCTGCTGGACATGCAACAGAAGGTTGGAAGGACTATGACTATATAGTGCAACCATTTGCAGCTGGTCTGACCTGCTTCCCCGGCCTTGGCCCCATCAATCTCATGGGCCAAATTTTTCAAAGTGAACGTCCGCTTTCTGCCAGCCACCTATAGAAGTTTGTCAAAAAGCATCTGGACCACACCCGAAACCGAGGCCACCGAGACCTTGGTGATGGTGAGGGAAACATCGGTCTCCCCAGATGTAGCCTGGACACAGGGCACAGCTCTGACGGCTAAAGCAGCGCTGGTCTGCCGCCCAAAGCTTAGTTTAGGGGTCTAGAAGTTTCTTGCTCCTAGTAGCGATGCCATTTGTTCCTAGCAGCTTCTTGTTCCTAGCAGTAAGGCCAGGAGCTACTAGGAGCGTCCTTGCTTCTTGCTCCTAGTAGCGATGCCATTTGTTCCTAGCAGCTTCTTGTTCCTAGCAGTAAGGCCAGGAGCTACTAGGAGCGTCCTTGCTTCTTGCTCCTAGTAGCGATGCCATTTGTTCCTAGC